TCAAGTTTACTTTTTTACCCCATTCAGGGTATTATTTTGCACAAATTAAAACGCAATAAAATACGAGGGCTACGATGAGTAAGCGAAATCCCCGCCATATTTCAAGGATGAGGGCTTCAACCATCGCCCAGCACGCAATTGTTAATCCATCGAGTTGGCCTTTCTTTAGAACCTTGTTATTTATGGCGTCTCGTTGAAAGCACCTTTAATTTGATCATGACTTTACATTATCCAAGCTGTTTTTTGACGGATTGCATGCAAAGTAATCGGTTATGCCATCAAACAGATTGTGAGTTCAAAAATAAAAAATATATGTTACACAAACAACACAAAGCGTCGATTATATTCAGGCTTCGGAAAACAGTAAAAAATGGAGCATTGCTGAAGTTACAACATATTTTTCGAACATAAAACAAGGAAGAACGCTATAGTCGAGTACCTCGACTATCAGATACCCGTTACTCAGCTAAATAGAGATATGCAAGTAGCAAAGCGAGATTAAAATGCGCCACCTACCGGCGGTATACAGATTTAAGCGTTTTGGGCGTTAGAGTGGGCGTGGCAAATTTTTTTTGGACCAATCGATAGGTATTGACGAGACCAATACATTTCAGTTAAAATTTTTTATTCAGCATAAAAATTGTGGGCATCACAGGTTTTCGCTGTTTGTGGGCGTTAGAGTGGGCGTGGCATATTCGCGTGACAAACTTGCGCTGCGTATAAGGCTACGGAATCTAAATCTGAAATCCCAATTCTCTATCTTTGATAGTTTCCGAGATATCCACGTTCATAATTACGATTTTTTGAAGTTTGTGGGCGGTTTATGGGCGTTAGGGTGGGCGTGGCAAACTTTTTTTTGGGTCAATCGATAGGTATTGATAAGAACATTACATTTCAGTTAAAATTTTTAGTCTAGCATCAAAACTGTAGGAGCCACAGTTTTGGGCGGATTGTGGGCGTTAGAGTGGGCGTGGCACTGTACTGAAACAAACTTGCGCTGCGTAAGAAGCTCAGGAATCTGCACGCCAAATCTCAATAGCCTAGCTCTCATAGTTTCCGAGATCTCAGCGTTCATCCGGACAGACAGACGGACAGACGGACAGACGGACAGACGGACAGACGGACAGACGGACAGACGGACATGGCTAGATCGACTCGGCTAGTGATCCTGATCAAGAATATATATACTTTATGGGGTCGGAAACGCTTCCTTCTGCCTGTTACATACTTTCCGACGAATCTAGTATACCCTTTTACTCTACGAGTAACGGGTATAAAGATCCTAAAGCAATGAACAGGATATTGTAAAAATGACTAATAGCATCATAACTGAATATTTGAAAAAAGTTTGTAAGCACTAACTCTACATCCAAATGTATACTTTGCCCTTTATAACTATTGACATTGGTCCTAAAATTAAAATAATGTACACTTCGAATAAAAAGAAATCGCTTATTGTTCGATTCAAACCAACAATAGAAAGATCTTGAAAAATAAAAAATTATTCTATGCTCTTAGCATGCAAATTTTGGGCATATTTGGTTGCCGACGGCACTTTGTAAGTATAGATTTTCCACACCAAACATTTTTTCTTTGAAGATTTTTCCATAAAGATTAAACAATACCAAAGAAATACGTATGTATATATGAAATGCCCCCACTTGAAACTATTTTCTTAAGACAGTAAATATAATACGATTTGATATAACATAGTAAATGCGCAATAAAGTCGCTCAATAAACTTAAATCAATAAACTTTAATTAGCAAATGCATAGAAATTGAAAGCACCCATAAAAAGGATTCAATCCACTACTAAATTTATCGAATAGATGGGATGAGCAACGATGGCGCGAAATTCTACCACAAAGATGCTTAAGTTGGCCATAAGTAAAAGGCGATTGCGGGCAAGACCAAGGAGCTTATATAATCAAACATAAATCTGAATTCAGCGGAACCATAACTTGGCTGTCATTTGCCAGAAACAAAAAGCGTCAAGTCCCGAGGGTCGACCCAGTTATGGGCGTATCTGATTTATCTGATTTATTTTTCACCGAGCGAGCGAACTGAGTTCGCCAGCGATTGGGTTGTATAACAAATGCTTTCGGTTTCAATGGTTAACTACACAGATTTCTGAAAAATATCGGATCTCAGGTTACGCAAGTAACCCTAGCCGCTTTTGAATGACCTGCAAAGCTATTTGCCTGATTGCCGTCAAATAGATTATGCAAAGTGTACGCTGAATGGACGCTCCTTGTGGACATTTTCCGTTAAATCGAATGGACACTCCCTGACGCATTTTTCCAGATACATGAACGCTTTCAATACATACATATATACCTTTATGATTAATTGGTGTCCAGCTAGGACGAACATGCTCTTTGACAGGTGTCGCCAGGATGTCGGATCCCGCTGTTTTAGCGACCCGCCATAAAAATAAAAGGGGAGCTGCCTTTGATTTATGATGGACTATTTCGTGGCTGAGATAAAAAAAAAAAACAATATAAAGGACATAGAAAAGGAAAAAATTCAATAATAAATCCCCTTTTTCGTTGGCAGTATCTATGAGTTTTCCTGATGCCTTAAAAGGTCTCGAAATTGCAGCTACAAATTTAATTTGTACCTATGTTTAATGTTCTGATGCCTAAAGCTTTTTTTTGTGAGAGATACAAATTATGCAAAAGCTTGTAATATTTATTCTTTTGCCCTCTACCTTCATTTCAACAGCAAGTCATGCACGATGAAAATGAATTCAAACTGACACTCAGAAATGTGCCTGTCAGAAATAATAAAAGAAATTTCATATGCATGGAGATATTAACAAATTAAAAAAAAATATTTGCTTACGTTGGCAGCAGAGAAAGTACAATTTGAAATATGATAAGCACTCTACCCAAAGAATTTGCAAATTGCTACTTAATGGAATGTAATTAAAAATATGTTTAGTATTTATGCAGAAAGGATAAAGTTTTTTGCACTTTAATGAAAGTTGACATTTTTGCAAGTCTTCAAACTTTGCTCAAAGTAATTTAATCTTCCCATACATGAATAATAAATTACTTTGAGAAAATAAATTTCCAAATATTACAACAAGGACTTTAAAAGTTAAGCTGAGAGGCAAGTCATACAACTTTGTTGAACTGTACTGACATACGTATGGAACTCAATAAAAATTCACTTACAGTTTCTTGACCCAGGCGGCAGTTGTCGATTGTTGGATTTCCAACTGAGTTGAGAGGACCTTTGGATTATGCTAATAATATCGGTTTGGCATTTTTAGATGGGTTCAGCTCGGTTCAGCTTTGATTCAGCTTTGTTTCAGCTTTCTTTCCATCTCTGGACATGTGCTCCTTGGTGTAATTGCAATGATTGTTATTTGATTTTCCCTTTATTAGCCAGTCCTTTACGGTCGTTGAGCTATGGAACAAAGGACCTAATGTCGAGCAGGCCGATGTTTCGTTTATGGCTATAAGTTACTGGCCTCCCTGAGCCATCAATTTTGATGGGTAAGCCCACGCAGGCACATTTTGGTTGAGCTGAGCCTCAAATGCCGGAAAAAGTGTCACCCATCATTGAGGTTAACGTTGCGTGTCCATGGTTAAAGCATCTTCGTACTTCTCTCCCTTTTGGGGATCGTTAAAACCCATCAATATACTCGTACGCACATCCCTGGCAATCTGCTTACCTCAAGAGTTTTTGCGACAACTTTTCCATTATCCAAGGCATACCAGGAGTTTGGGTAAATATGGCTTACCCGATACTCGTAAACCGTATTACCTGCTAATCTCCAAAAAGCATTTACCCTCACATTGGAAATTATATTATGCGGATATAAAAGGGTTGATCAGACTGCGTTTGATGATGCGTAAGGATTTTGCTTCGCTCCATTCTTTTTTTAGCATACATTTTGGGGCTATTGTTTGCATTTGTTTAACACATCAGTTAATCCATGCATATTTATGTCTATTATTATTCCAGAAATAGATTTTCATTTTTTGATTTGGTGTGAATTTGTGTAAAATCCAAATGATATAAATGATGACATTATGCATTATGTATTTATGTGAACAAAAGGTTTTCGTGCGGAGCAGAATATTGTCCAAATCAATTAATTTCACTTTATTGTTTAAATTTGTTTCCGTGCTAACAATAAAGCTAATGTGTCTGTGTGTACAATAAACCAACAAACCTGTTGGAAAAGCAAACGAAGTCATTGACTGATGACTGGTGGGGTAACTGTCTGATGGTAATTGATATGCCACCATATGGCGGGAACTTGAATAAAAGCACGTGCCCTCCATACTCAGATACGTAGGGGGTGTATTCGTATCTGTTAAAAATGAGGGTGCGCTAATGTATTACAATTATTTTTGGTAGGGATTTGCGGTTGATTTTATTAAGCCATTACCATGAAAATTGAATAGTTGCCCTTGGATATTAATTTATACATCAACTAATATCAGTTTTTTATTCAAAAACTAAGTAGTTTACCATGTTGTAACAGTCCTAATGTACTAAAAATATTTTTGGTAGGGATTTGCGGTTGAATTTATAAAGCTATTAAAATGAAAATTTCATAGTTACCCTTGGATATTAAATTATATGTCAACTAATAGCAGATTTTAATTTAATAATTAATAATTCAAAAAGTATTTAGCCACAGTTGTAACAGTCCTTATTTATTACAATTATTTTTGGTAGTGACTTGAGGTTGATTTTAGCAAGCCATTACCATGAAAATTTCATAGATACCATGGATATTAATTTATATATCAACTATTATAAAACTAAGTAGTTAGCTTTCGTTGTAACAGCTCAATGAGTATTTGATAACTTTTATTTCCTGGAAATCCCCTAACAAGCCAATTTATAATGGGTATTTTATAGTCGATCTACAGCCCCTGAAGTGGCCTTCACTTACTTTTATGAACTTGACGCCTGAAATGGATATTTATCAGATTTCTAAAAATGTTATGTGTTTGTTTTTCTCCCATTTTTTTAGCAGGTTCTTGTGGCGCCATTTATTTGCATAATTAAAGACGTTCGGTCAGATGGTGGGCGAGATTAGGAGTCGTTCAGATGATGGCAGGTAAGTCACGGTCTATTTATATGGTTTTATACTCGGAATGGGGCAAAGGGGGCCTAATTTGCAATGCAAATCGAACCGAATCGATGTAGTTTGAAAGCGGTTAGCATATTTATGCGACTGGCGCATGCGAGAAATCTTTCTCTGTCTACCAATTGATTGGGTTTGGCTTGGTTAAGTTTGTCGCCCAGTTTTCTGCATTCCACTGGGAATTCCTGATCGAGATAAACTTTGTTTTGGCAGCTCAACAGCTGGCCAAGATGCTGGCTCAAAGTCAGTCGTAAAAGCGAGTCGTAAATTCCCATTGCCGGGAACATAAAGAACCAAGGCGACCACGCAAACAAATTAATTGCTAGGGTCTGCCAATAAAATAGCCCAAGCGGAACTAGTAACTATGAACCAATTAAGGAATAATTAGTGCTGCGGTAAACGGCGAATGGATAAGACAAGGGACAAACGGGGATCCACATATGTGTAATTAAAAAAGTTTTTCCAAACCAGGAGCATTCCAAACAACTTTGTTTGTCTGGTTTTGATTTAAGCAAACACTTTAGCATCCATTTATTTATGTACGTTTTTCAGCGAATTTTCGTTGTGTAAAACCGTAATTGGATTAAGCTTAAAGATAATTATGATTTTATGGAAAAATTATAACCGAACAAGTTACACGGGAAATCGGATGTAAAAAAAGGATTTCACATATAATCCGACATCTGCACCCAAAAAAAAAGAAAGTTATAATAATTGTAAAAAAAGTCATAATTTTAATTAAATTTTTGATTCAAGACTAAATAACACAAAGAGTATACTTAACTGTTCCATTTCTATATTAAAGAGTAAACAATTTTTTGATTTGTGTTATTAATTTTGAGTAAACTAATTTAAATTTTATACTTTGGCAAGTATAAGTTAAACACTCATCTTATTGACGTCAAATCGATACTCAATAATGTAACAATAGTAAATTTTATACATCTATTTTTTTCGGTGTAGTTAAATCGCAAGTGGTTCTCACATGTCGGAAGTAAGTGGTTTGGTTGTGTAGATTAAAAATTTCCCAGTCTTTAAATCCTTTAAAAATAATGTCAGCTTGCTCTCTGCATTTCAACTTTTTGTGTGTTACTTAATTTAGTAAGCGTTAAAAGTGGTCAATATAAAGATAAATATTTACAAAGTAGCATTCATTGTTTTAGATGTAAATTGATTTTATTAGAAGTTTCAAACTTTATTTAAAGACCCTCGAAGTAATAAGAATGGTTGGCCCAACAAAACAAGGCTAACTTCACATTTTCACGTTTTAATTGCTGCATAATAATGCGATTATAAAGTCATATGTTAAAAATTAAAAACAAAACACCATATATATTTGCAAACAAAAATAATGTCAACATGTTTATTGCGGTAAGTGCAACTTTTAATACTCAATTAAATTGTTACCACCGCTTTGTGGCTTCATTAATTGCAAGCGATAATTGCATTTTTTGTAGGACTTCTAGCTAAGTGCGTTTTTTGTTTTGGCATATAGTTAATGAAATTAATTTTGTAAAAAATGCAAATTTATTAGGAAAACACTCAGTTTAAAGGTCAATTAGGTGTTATTCCTAATAATATTAATAATGTAAATATGGTTGTTAATTATGTGGAAAGTCCGTCGGCAATACTTACATTTAATTTAATAAATTGGTAAGTATTACCGTAATAGCCGCCCAATTTGTTGGACTTTATTAAAGTATCTGTTAGGGATCTGACCTCAAATTTCCGGCTTGACAAAATATTCAGTCCCTCGATGTCACATGTGTGGGCCATAAAACTGAGTACGGAAGCACATGGGATAAGCACGGTCCATATCCATATCCATATCCATCCATATGAACACGCTTTTACGACCGGGTCGGCAGTTTATTTCACTTGGATGGCTATGGAGTGTTTTTCGCGAGGACAATTTGCATTTCCCCCGGTGCACTTATCTAAAATGCATTTATGACGGGGGCTACGCAAATATGTAATATCGGCGGAGCTTTAACTTTGGCATTGACATTGGCATTGACTTTAAGCCCCCCACTGGATCAATGGCGGTGCCTATCGCTAGATAACAATATTGCATCTCTCAAGTGCCCAAGAACAGTCGCTTTTTTGCATAGAGGGCTAGAGAGCCAAGCAAACACTCGGGCATCTTGTGCATCAAAATGAGATTCCACTGGGGACGATAACTTTGGCGTATGACTTGCTGTAATCCACTTATTATCAAATTGTCCTTGGAGCAAATTGCTGGGAAAAGGCGAATGACCAGAAAACTTCTGCAGCGCGATAAGTCACTGGGCTAAGAAAACTTTACTTGAGCTAAGTTGAACAACTTTAGTTGAGCTCTACATCTGCCACCAAAATGTGGCAAACTTTTCTGCACTTCCTTTTCCGTCCACAAAAAACTCATCACAGCAAATAAGAACTTGGTTTGCGCTTCACAAAATGAATATTAAAACAGAGCATTTAAATAAAATTGGTCTTTTTTGCAAATATTTGCCTTGTGCTTTATTAAGTTGGTTACCACAATGAATTTTTTCTTTATTCAATTGTTTTAGAAAAGCCGGAAGGCAAAGAAAAATCTGTTTGAAATATAAAGTCAACAAATGTGGATTTGATTATTCTTTTGATTGCATAGAGATATATATGTTTTTAATTCTTGTTTTTTTTCATTTAGCGGAGAGTTGGGTAAGGGTAGCAGGAAGAGCCCCTTGGCTATGACTTTTTCATTCATCATTTTAAAGTTAATTGCAAAGTCTTCCATAATTTTTGCAAGTTGTTAAAGTACATTTTTAACTACGCGTTCCCCAGAAGTGGGGTAAAAATAGTTAGCAACTTACTTCCGCTGTAAATTATAAACAACTTTTGATTGGATTCTTTGGAGATTCATCTTTTGATCTAAACTTGAGTAAATTTAAAGGGGGTTTTATTTAAAACTTTCTTCATAATACAAAAATGCGAATACAGCTCGTCTTTTCTTCCTAGATTTTTCCTATACTATTATTATTCAAAATTAAACGCTGTCAACATATTTTTCGTTCGTCCTTAACAGACTCATCGAGCTCAACTATTAGGTTGGTGCAACAACCCGCAAAAGTCATGGAAAGTACCTACATACTCCAAAAAATACTCATTGTCTAATATTAACTACCTTCACCTTCAACTTTCCTCACCCCTTAGACAGTTTATGAAGTTTTCGGAAAATAACTCAAGAAACAAAAGTCAAGAACACAATGTTGGTAAGAGGTACCTGCACACCAAATATAGCTTCCGAAAATACTTAGTCTAACATAAATCGGCTGTGAACAATGTTTAACAAAGTGCATCAAACAGAATGAAAATTTGTTATTAAATTTGGCATTGACACAAAAGAACTCATAACTTCTTCCACTGATGGCTTTTAAGGCTTCAATTTGTAGTGTTGCCCCCTGATGTTCAAAAACACCTCGCCGTTTTGCCTGTAGGACCACCAACTGTTATTTTGTTTTACGAGCTTGCTCTATAAATGTTAATAATTCAACAAAAACAATGTGAATTGTATTACTAGTTTGAACGTATTAGTTGAGCCAGTACACTATGTTAGCACCGCCTCAATAAAGGAACTTCGCACATTTTTCACTTCTACCCAAAGAAATTCCTTATTCCTTAATTTAGCAAGCGTCCGGATGGTAATTAAAATAACTATATTCTCGTTTCTCCCACATTTATTCTATAAATGTCTTTGGCACTTTTGTCGAAGTCCAGGTGGCAGAACTGCAATTAGATAGAAATTCACTAAACAATGTTTTATATTTCAACTTCGAAATGGTCAACCCAGGCTGCAATTATCACCATGCCTGCCCTGAATGGCATTTTAGTTATGGCTATCAAATTGTGAGCTTAAAATACATTTTCGATTTAAATGTAAACCGAATGAAGACAGCTTGTCATTACGTCAAATGCCGAAGGGGAATTCAAAGATCTTGGTTTTCGTTTAACTTATAATTTGTGTAGAATTTATTTAAGCATTTTGGTAGAGGTAGTCAGGTGCAATGGTAGAGCTTTAGAAGTGGGCCACGAAGGTGTTGGGGTCAATCACTGTGGCCACCTCCCAGGGGTGGACAACCGAAGGTCCCGGAATGCGGTTGTAGGCATCTGAAAGAGCAAGAATGGCAATGGAAGGAGGTCAATCTCGGTGACAGTTCCCTCAGAACTATTTCCCCAACTTACCGATTATCTTTTGGATGGCCGTCTGGGCATCCAATAGCCGAGTGGGCGGGGCGGGGGCGGCACTGACAAGGATCAGGCAAATGGCGATGAAGGCAAGAGCTGCGGCAAGGATTTTCGACATTCTGGTGCTTTGGCTTGGTATTCTGGAGGTTGGTTTTGGAGTCTAATTGAATCCGATGCGACCCCAGCTATTTATACTCGACCAGAAACCGGGATGAATGAGAGGCCAGCATCGCGATAAAAAGAGAAGGAACTTGTGGGTTGAGCAGCTCGTTCTAAAGCAGCTGTTTAGAAATTGGATTTCTTGTTTTGATTTCGTTGGCGACAAATTTCTATAGCGATATATAATCCGGGGAATGTCCGCACTCGAAGAGGGAAAACAAGTTTCGCAAAAGAACAAACGATTCGAGGCGGGAATTTTGAACACCTTCAAGGAAAGCATAACAATGCAGAATAATTTCTTAAAACAGTTCATGCAAATATATAATCTTTTTGAATATTAATAGTTTGGCTAAAGGTTGCATTTGGTATAAACCTCTTTGGAACTTGGGCACTACAGTTTTATTAGACCAGATTATTAATTAAGTCATTTATCTTCGGTTTTTTATAAATTGCTCTAGTTATCATTGAATTATAAACCGAATACTTTGTTAAATTTAAAATATATACATTATATTTTAAGTTTAAATACTTTTCCCAAAAACATGTACCACTTTCTAACTCAAAACTAGGTATCTAAAGGTCTGCACTAAAAAGCCCACATAACATCAAATAAAATCGTGTGTTCTTCTTGAATATTTTTGCCATAACACAAAAGTTTTGCATATGACAGTTCATTGTACGAATGTGGCTACAAAATCTCTGTTTATGTTTTGCTTCAAGATCTGTTTGTATTATTTGTTGTTTTTCCAGACGGCTTGGGCATTTCCAACTACCCCAAAAAATACGTCGGCCAGATAAAAGAGGCAACTAGGAGAATCATTTGGTTATTTGTCGCCATTTGCTATCGGTTTTTTTTGTTGATGCTGATTTATAAACAAACCGGTTGCCTAATTTGCCGCTCGGACGGAAACCAAAAGAAAGTAAAATTTTTTAAGGTTTTTGTTCGTTTCATAAATTATTTCATCTCTGGGAATTCCTTCTCAGCACTGGCGGCAAATTAACAACACAAAAAAAAAAATCGGCAGCAAAATGTATTCTAAATTCTTTGGCACCGTCTGGCGATGTCTATGGAAATTGATTGGAATTTGTATTCAAGCGGAAAGAAGAGAATGTCATTGTGGGGTTGTACTTAGTAATCAGTTTAAGACGTGTATCGCGAAAATACGCCGTGTACTGCTAATGGAAACACGTGCCCCATTGACAAGATTGTTAAAAGAGCGTATACGTTCTGATAAATGCGTGTCTGCCCGAAGGATAGAGGATCCCGGATGGAAATGAAGGGCTCCGGCTGACACATGCCAATTGTTCACGGAAATATCGAGGTACTTTCTGGCGGTTGGGTGGCTAATGAGGCACCCGTAAAGCCTCTTATCTCCGCATTTATTGGCCTGTCCGACCCGCAAATAATTTTGATCTATGGCGTCGAACGAGTGCGACTGCGAGTACGAGTTCATATTAATAATAATAATAACACTGAGCCCGCTACTTAGGTCTATTCATAATTTTGTGTATTTGTGCCTTTTTTTTTATCTACACTTCTAGTCGTTCAATTTGGGTCCGTGCGCAAATCAGACTCCCATACGGCACCCTCTATTCATGATTATATATTAGCTTTGTGTATTTAAACCCCGAGAAAAGCCAAAGAAAAGAAAACATAGGGCGGGGAAATGGCTAAAAAAGAGCTAAGCGTAAACAAGTTACCCCAGGGCTTTTTAAATTATATGCTGATAAATTAGCGTTTTCCCGCATCAACTTCCTCCTCCCATGGGATATTACGATGCTGGATGCTCAAGAATGATATGTGTGTGCACACACGCTTTTATATTTTCACAATGTTTTTGTTTGATGAAGGCAAAAACAGCGTATGCGTAATATGCGAAAGGATTATGTCTATGTGACGACACTGAAATGTACACCATCTTCATAATTTGATGAATGTTTTTGTAAATTACGATAACCATTAGCACACAATGTGAGCTGCGACATTGGCAAAAGTAAAACAGAAAGATAAATTATTATGCGAACTTAATTAAGAGATTCAACTCTGCGTAATTAATTCAGCATATCGTCTCTTCCTTTCCCAAGAGGTTGAATCTGTCAGGAAAATGTGTTCTATTTAATTGGTTACAAGTACTTCTCTAGTTGATATTGATTAATGAACTGGTTTGTCAATATTTTCGTTGAATACCCAGTGATGCATTTTAATTGCTTTTGATGTGAGTTGTGAGATGTGAGAGACTTGTTTATGGCAGATTCAGACATTAAGTGAATTTTTAAAGCCCACATACACACGTGTCCGATATACGTCTAAAAATTAGATTTATTACTTTCTAAGGAACGTGTCCGTTTTGATGGATCAGAAACTCAGCTGGCAGGTAGAAAAGTTAATTTAGTTGCAAACTTGCAAACGCCAAAAGTTTTTCTTTCAATATTAAGTTGAGCAACTCCCCGGAGGTCCAAATTGTTGGTTATATGTTAATAGCATCTCCCTGGACACGAGCCAGGTAACTTAATAATATGCTGTCGATTCCACGTGGACATTTGGGTACATAAAAATTGGTAAATAAATTAGACAGTTTAATTTCCGGAAATCAGCAGGACAAAGTTTTTAAATTCGATTTCCATAACTGTGAAGTTCATGATTCATTTGCAGTATGCGTAACATTTTGAAACATCCGGTTGCCGGGAGGCAAACTTCTTTCATTACCTTAGGTAAAATGTTGAGTGAGGCTAAAATTTAATTCAGGTATTTATTATGCTTGAACCTTTTAACGCAAAATTGACTTGCGGATAAGGAGTTCTTCTGTTGGTGTTGGACAAATATTGGTAAATGTTTTGTTTTTGGCCTTTGGGCTATTTGGCCAAAACTATGCTATTAATTATGTTCATACTGGCAGCAAAGTAATGAACATGTTTGTTGCATGTTATATGAATACTTGTACAGGTGCATATGGAATCAGATTCAAAATTTAATATTTTCCCTTTCAGTCAGAAGGAAAGTTAAATTTACGATTATATTACACAATTTATTTTTGTCAGCAGTGATCATCTTTTTATTACTTAACTGAACAGGGTTTGACTTTGGTGACATCTTGTTAAAATGGCTTTTGTTATAATATACCTGGTGCTAGTAAGATAAAAGAATATACTGTTTTCTGCCAAAATTATGGAGGCGAGGAAAATATGCTTATTTTAAGAAGTGCTTATCCCAAAAGTCTGTCGCACATAAGTATAATGTTTTGTTTTTTTTTCTGGGCTCATCCAACTGACTTTATAAAATACACTCTTAATTACCGAAAAATTTGCATGTGTACAAAGGCAGATGAGACACACAATAAGATACCTGGTTAAAGGTTTAAAGTCCTTTTTAAACGATTTGAGTTCTCTTGAGAGTTTTTTAACGCAACCTTTAAGGATTTCCTTGCTCGTTAAGTATGTCTGTATGTATGGTTGTCAAAAACAGCCACATCATAAGAAAAGTTTTCATTTGTTCATATTTGAAATGGAATTTTTACTGTAACACCAAAATGTAATTTAAATTTAATTAACATTTCGCCTTAAAGTCATTTGTTTCTTGGAAATTTAACGTACTAATGAGATTCTAAAGTACCCAGATGATATCGAGAAGCAAACGTACGGAAATGGGTGCGTAGGTGAGTGTGTAGGTGGGGTAAGGAGTATTCAACTACCTTGATAAGTTCAGGATAATGTGTAGATGTACATACGTACAAGTGTACGATGTTCGAGGCTTAAGCCTTCGCCAAGGAACATATGCTGGCTGTTTGTCTTTGGGATGGGACGTTCATGCATAATTAATCACTGTGTGTCGCCGCCGGGAGTTGAATTGTGTCTTCTTGTGTTGTATGTGCCAGTTGACATGGCCGTGCTTTTTTATCACTGCCACCGAAGCCTAGCCGCTATATTTATCTTTTTTGCTTGGGCTGCCCGGACTTTTGTCACTGCAATCTCGTGTCATAAACGATTCGGTCCAAACTGCGAGGAACAGGAAAATGCGGAAATGGAAAGGACGAGGAGGTGAAAAGCTCCTGCCGGTAAAACGATGTTAATGTCAAGTAGATCCCAGAGCACGTCTTCCTGCGATAATTGTTGACGTAAATCATGGCGAAGAGCAACAGAAATACGGCACAGACAGAGACATATCCACAAAGAGAAATAATTGTATTTTTTGACTTAACAAGTTTAAAAACCAATTACTTTGTTTACACTGATACAAAATAGTATAGTATAAATAAATACCTGCATAATGAATTCAAAATGTAGTATTGAACATTTGAACTAAATAGAAAATCCTAAAGTTCAAAACAAAACATAATCAAGTGCTGGATTTACCTTGAAAGGAAAATGTAAATCAAGGTAGAACATTTTAGTTTTGACGTTACTTATATTACTTAAAATATTTTACATAATTAAAAAAAATTTTAAGTTAAATATAATTGTTAAATTAAATATTTTCACATTTAAAGTAAATAAAAACCGCAATGGATCTAAGGCCAAACACAAAATATTTAAAAGGAATATGAAATCCTTAAATTTACTATGTTACTTTTATCTGTGTGTTAATATTTTTGTCTAAAATTTGAGCTCTAAAATTATAACCTATTTTTATGAACAGCTTCCTACTCACTTTTGGAGACTTTGATTAAAAAAATAAATACTAAATCAATTAAAACTAAAATTTTTTACAGTGTCTTAAAGCATGGTAAGTAAAATTCAGAAAATTGGCCCTATTAACGCGGACATTTTTCTTGGTGGCCACCGCCACATAATTGAAATAAATATAAGATTCCATGGAATCCGGGTGAAAATTTTCGAGGTGGCACTTTATTGAAATGTGTTTGTTTATTTGAAGACAAACACAAGCAAATTGGCTGAAGCCCTTGTACTGGGAATTGATTTAAAAGGGAGAACAATGTACATTGAGGTAATACTCCGCATTTGGGGCCTATGGCGCTGTAAAAGCCAGGCTAAGTGCTGCGGAAAAAGGAAAACACAAAGTGTTGAATGGTTGATGGTGAAATGTAAGACGGCATTTCTCAAATTAATGCGCACAGCAGCGGGTGGAAAAATTATGCAAATCACGTAATTTTTATTTCGCCGTGTTGAAAAGTCAAGACGACACGCTTTTTGTTTCAAGCTGATGCTTTTGAGGGGGTAGACGCCTATTATATGCAAAAAGGGCTGTGTTTTTGGGCCCCCTTTTATTGCTTACACGCGCGTAGGTCTGCCGTTAAAAATGCGATTCTGTATCTTATTTTTGCATATTTTAGAGATTTATGATTTATACATTTTTTTTCGAGATTTCAAGTTTTTTATGATTTTTATGATTTTTTATGCAATTCTGTTTCTTTTACTTTTCAAATTACCCGCCCTCAGTGCAACCCTGTGCGCATTATCGATTGCCAGCGGGCATGCGCACCAGCATCGATAGTCGATGACAAACAGCTGTGTACCTATACTTATCCAATATGGCTGCAAGTAAAAAATTGTAACGCTGTGAAAAAGTGCAACTCAAATTGCATTTATCGCATGAATATTAGTTAGAAAAGTGCCAGGAATGTGAAATTGTGCAAGGGGAAGTCGAAAACTCCCAGAAAAACCAGTGCGCGCAAGGAAATCTCAGCGAAAAAGTGAAAAACGCAAAAGTCGCCGGTGCCCCGCCAAAAAAAGAAGACTACCCCGCCTCCCAAAAAAAAAAAACAATTTCTCTCTGGAAATAAGTAGAAAAATAAAGTTGCAATGGAAGCCGACATAACGCCCTTGGCGGAAACCAACGGAGAGCAGCGCGAAAATCCCCAGGAGAACGCTGAAAACCCCGAGCAACAGCGACAGGATTTGGGCAAATCCCTGGATTCCGCAGAAGATGGCGTCTCCGGGGCAGTGGGACAGATTATAGACTACCTCGAGGTGCGGCTGAAATGAAACGAACTGCGCGCAGCTCACAAAACTCATACACATTTTACTTATTTTCCAGGACGATGCCGGTGCAAATGCGGATCAGGACACGGAAATGGGCGAGGCCGAGTATCTGGATGGAGAAAATCCGCCGGAGGAGGAATCCGAATGTCCACAGGGTGGAAAAGCCAATGAAAGTGGTCAGCAAGCAAGCAACACGGAGGAGTTACCAGAGACTGCAACTGAGGAGGAAGTCTCTAAGGAAGGAGAAAAAGATACTGAACCGGAGAAAGAAACTACTTCTTTAGACAAAGAAGCTGATAAGGACGGTACAGACAAGTCGGTCCCTAAAGATGGAGAAGAGCTTGACCCAGAGGAGGAGGAAGAGGCCGCTGAAAAGACGGGCGAAGAAGAGGCCATCGAAGAGGGCGAGGAGGCCCTCGAAGACGAGGAGGAGCCCACCGAAGAAAACGAGGAGGTTGACCAAGAATTCGAGACCGCCACCGATGCAGAAGGCGAGCTAATCATCGGCGATGAACCCGTCGAAGGGGTCGACTCCGTAGCCCCCATTAGGGAGCGCAAGAAAGAGGAGCCCGTGGACGAGAACCAGTGTCGCGTGTGCACCAGCAAGGAGGAGCTAGTCTGTCTGTTCAAAAAGCAAATCGATGCCACGCCCGCGGACATGCTGCTGGTCATCTGCCCCAGTGTCTCGATTTTGCCCAAGGACTTTATGCCGCAGTTCATATGCACCAAGTGCATGGGCAGCCTCACCATAGCCATACAGTTGAGGAAGCAGCTAGAGGCCACGGACCAGGACCTTCGCAAGCGCTTGTCCAGAAGCAAGAACAAGGTGCGGAGGCCGCGTGGCTATGTGGTCATCGATGCACCCGTCACCGATTCCAGCGAGGATGAAGATGAACTCGACGACGAGTTCAAAGTATCTGATGTGGGCGGCACCACGAGTGCAGATAGCGACGACTCTGTCGACTCCGATGCCAGTGAGAAGAAGAAGGAGAAAAAGAAACCCGGTCCACGTGGACGTCCTCGAAAAAAACCGCTCAAGAGGAGCACAGATAGTGATGGAGAGCCATCAAGCGCCCAGAAGAAGAAATACCAGCCCACGTCGACGGCTTCCGTGGGTCCATTCGAGTGCCCCAACTGCGACTTGACGTTCTCGCGCAAACAATCCTACGTGCTGCACCGCAAGACCCACGAAAGGATAGAACATGCCTGTCCCATCTGCGGCAAGAAGTTCAAGGTGGAGTGGGCCTACAAGACGCACATGCAGCGGCATGAACAGGAGCGCGCTCACTTCCGCTGTGAGCTGTGCCCCAAGATATTCCGCTTACGAGCGGAACTGAAGCACCACATGGCCCAGCGACACGATGAGCATGGGTTCATCTACGAGTGCAAACGCTGTCAGCGGACCTTCCTTACGCAGCAGCGTTTGCAGCGCCACCAGGCCGCCGGCTGTCAGCGGCACAAGGAGGAGACCGTTCGCATCAAGGAGGAGCAGCCGCGCATCAAGCAGGAGCCGCGCATTAAGGAGGAGCGCATCAGCCACGTACACGTCCAAGGACACTCCCAGGGAAACAACAGCAACATGGGCAAACGCCGTCCCGGCGAGGGTCGGGATCTTTTCAAGGCAGTGGCCCCACCGACCACCACATACTGGAGCGATAGCTTCTCGGACTAAAATCGAGGTGCGGCGGCATGCGGATTTCTGTTTTAATCAACGATTTTAAGTTTTCCCTTAGCTGTAGGAAGAATTCAGTGCAAATAAATCACATTTGTAATAAATACAAAATAAAATAAGTGGAAGTTTTGAATACTTGTAAACTTCTCAAACTAAGTAAGTAAGCAAAAATAAAATAAAAAGTTCGATTAATGGCAAATTGTGAGTTTCCGATTTAAATTGAGTTTACTTTACATTAAATATTCAGGTTTTGTTTACATTTATTGCTTTTCCTAGAAATCTGCTTTCCAGGCGTACGAATTTTGAATAATTTAAATGCGTTGTTGCAAACCAATCAAAAATGCTAATTTCTGTTTGTTGTGTACTAACTGATTCAAGAAAGTTTTTACTGCTCCAATACAAATAATTTACGAAGAACTTTAATACTTTAGAGTGTTAATGCAATACCTTAAAGTTAAAAAAAAATTAAGATACCAAACGAATTAAGTTTTGTAGAATTTATCTGCAAAAACCGCAGTACATAAATTTGGCGAACTTTGTTAATTTCTTCATATTGCCATCAGTTAAAATCAGTTATTCCCAAAGCACCATGAATTGTGCATCCATGAAGTTGCCTATAAAATATTAAACGTTCTCGGGTTAAAAGACCTCGTTACAAAGCGCAATGCAGCTTAGTGCCCCAAAATGGTTCCTTTAAAGCCATTTTAATTGGATGCTAAAGCTATGGCTCACCAAATAGCCACATTTAATGCTTCTTAAAAGAACAATTTCGCGAGCTGGCCCTAACATGAGTGGTTAACTGCTGGGATTATATTTCCGACCCCAACCATTTTGTGTGGTTTTTTAGTTGCAAAAGGGATTGCAGCTAGCCCACGCAGTATATGGTCATGGCGGAAAAATATCAGCCGTCATTTCCAACTTGCAGTAAGTTATTGACATGTTGTGATATGAGCACTTGCACCTTAAAAAACCGAATCAAGCGTATTTGTACAAATTCTATTTAGATTTCGTTCTTATGTTATACTCGTATTTTGAAGGCGTAAATCATTTAAAGGCGTATAGGTATATTAATTATCTAATCTTGGGATGGACATTATATCCTTAAATGAATTAACATTTTCCGACACTTTTTGTAATTCGAAACATTTTAGCGGTATGATTAAAAAGTGTCTTCTTAATAAAAAGCCATAAAAGTATTTTGTAATTAAATTTGCTAATTGATTGTATATTCGAATGCTAACCCAATTAACTCAAAAGCTCCTCTTTACCGATTTTTGTAATGTTCGACCATTTTTTTCTGAAGAATTCGCGGTTCTTCAATCAAGAAAAAATGAAAATCCTACCGTAAATTCGAATAAAATTGTACTATAATAGATCCGAAACGTTGCTCCAACTAATAACTTATTCTTCTAATCCATACATGAAAATCTTGTTATTTTATTATATTTTATTTTCACAAAATTTAAAATACTGCACAAATAAGGTAAAGGAGAAAAGCCAAATGACTCGAACCATCTCGAAATGTTTAGAATTGGTTCTAAATGAGATCACCGCTGTGATCGATTTATGCAGTTGAGGGCAATACTAATTAACACTCATTGATTTGTAATGTCTAGATCAGCATTTTTAACCCATTAAGTACCTATACCTAGCCAAATAAGAAAAGAAAAACTTTAAGGAAACCGCACTTGACTTGAACGTTTATTTACAAAGCAATGTGGAATTGTGTGGACTCTTTGTTTAAAAATTCGAATGCAAAAACGAATTTCGGGAAATGCTGTTGAAAGACAAAGGTGATTCGTTGTGGGTGCTGCATTAGAAATGGTGGATGGAATGGTAGGTGGGCAGGTGGTACGAAACGGAGGATACCGGATGGTGGGCAATCAGGGGGGCGTGGGCGATGAGCGGTGCATGCGAGATTATCGGAGCGTGGTGCACCACCGCGGGGGCGGCAATGTAATGCGAATGGGTCACCAGGGGGGCGTGGTGGTAACCCAACCCCAATGACAAGCCCCGCTTGGCCTTCACGGAGGACTCTTGTTGCTCCTCGGCGGCGGGAGCGGGTGCGGGTGCGGCCACAATACAGGCAACGCAGGCGATGAGCAGGAGCAACTGTTGCGTTTTCAGGAATTTTCCATTAGCGTTTTACCGGGCGAAAAAAAAGGATAAAATGTAAAGAAATTTTAGAAATACTTGGCAAAACGCTTATTTTCTTCAACGTTTTTCAATTATTTTCTTAGCTATGCCAGGAGCTTACAGTGAATTTCATTTTGTTGATCTAAAAATGATTTATGTTCGTCGCGATTTTGAAGCTGCTTCCACACTGGCTTTAATTCAACTAACGATACTCGCATTCAGAACCACTTTATTTATACAATTCGCAGGCTGTGCTCGAATTGTTAGAAACTCACTCAAAAACTAAGTCAAACGCACTCATTAGGCAAAAACTATTTAGGCCCAAAAATAAAGTAAAAATCGTACAAGACACGCATCGAGAAAAATATATGCCCACATCAAGCCAAAATTGCACAAACAAGCCAGGCGACTCAAAGTATAGATAGATGTGGTTGTAAATGTGAGTATCCGAGTGGGGCCGAATGTATCTGAGTATCTGAGTATCTTAGTGTCGCACAGAACGCCACAGCCAGTCCACATAAATTGTTTTTTAATTCAGCAAATTATTTGGAGTACTCACTTTGAGTGCCAATTGCCACCATAAATTATCAGCAGCTGGCTCTGGTCAATATGTTCATCTCGATTATTTGGATCTACTAAATGTCACAACCATAAAAATCAATAACTTTACTTTAATAGCCACTTGTCACAATCCCAATAATTTAAGCAATTTTAAATGTTTGTTTTCCTTTAAACAAAATGGAAGCGTTTGATATTATTCTGCTAAATATTCCGTAATTGTCATTAAAACCAAACCAAATCATGCGAGTCAGAGCCACATATATAATTTATTGAATTATTTGGGAAAATTGCCTGCTGCAGATTTAAAAATGCTTTTATTTATTTTATTCTGCTCGACATTTGTAAACAATTGTGGGAATGCCTGAAAAAGACACAGCGATATTAATTTGAGGAATTTATGATGTTTTCCTCAAAGGAAGTATTTCAGGCCTTATCTTCTCAAAGTATATCTAGATTGGTAAAACTTTTTGAACAAACTTGACTTTTTATGCAAATACTCAAAGCCAAGCAAATATTTCACTTGGTTATTAAATTTTGCAGCTTTAAGCTAGTGTTTATTTAATTTATCTACATTTAAGCTTAAAAATAAACGACTTATATTGATCCCAGCAGTAACCAATTATACTTATTAAAACTTATATTAAAATAACCACAAGCAATTTATGCTGCAGATTTACTTTATAAATTGCGGTTTGGCCAATAAAATAGGGCCCAATGGCAAACGCAAACCAGCTTTGTTTATCCCGTCTATAATCCCTGGAAATCATGGCAAAAAGGCTTAGCATGCAGCTGGTGAACTGAGACCATGACAAATGTGTGTAATTAATTTTCAATGAGCTTGAATTCTATTATGAGCTAAGGTAAATGAACAAATTGTAAACCATTTAGCACTCAGCCAGCGGCGATGGCAACAAATGGTTTAACTTTGTTTACCTTGGCTAATTGAAACTGACATTTTAAGGTAGTTGCAGGGTATTCGATAAAGTCAGTTGCTATAGAGCGTTTAAGTGGTAATGGCTGAATTAAATGGCCTTAATAATTGGCTATGGCCAATGTTATGGGCCACAAAAATAGCGGGGAGCTAGGCTGTGGGATCGTTCAGTCGATTGGCCCAGCGGGAGTTATACAGCCTGAGTTGTATTAGATAAGGGTCCTTTAGGGCCCCCTTCTCTAAGCAGGGTTTCCGCCGGAAATGTGCTAATAAAAAATGAGAGAAGATGCGCACATATACACATATTTGACAAGCGGAACGTTAATTAACGACTTTGCAAATGGCGGCAAGCAGAAACAAAAGCAGCAAAGGAAATGCCTGGAGTGCCATTGCTGTTTATCTGCAGCTGTCAGTTGATGGCGCCATTTTTTTCTATGTCCTTTCAGGGGGGGGGGTTTAGTGGGTTGGGAAATCTTCTATGGGTGCGCCACCTGTTAAGACACATTTCCCAAGGCCGCTTGTTGGTTAATAGAAAATGACTTATGGAAGTTACTTCCTAGCAGCAGGGGGTAAAAAATTAATTTCTAGATAACATTTTGAGTTACTTTGTTTATGTATTATTAATCAAATTGTATTAATGGTTTAAATTATAAAAAGTGTTCTATTTAAAACCCCATTTGTGAACAGAAAACAACTTAAAAAGCTTGTTAACAGAAGAAATAAATAAACCCTTAGCCCACTTATAGGGCTAAAAATAACTGAATGTTTCGATTGAAGGGAGATGGAAGCTTATTTATAAATATCCAATTATTTGTGGCATCATTTTGAAAATACAAAGCAACATAAGAAGATTTACAGCGGATGCAGAAAGCAAACAAATTGCTCTAACAGGCTTAAATTTCCTTTCATCAATGTCTACAATTACACATGGCATATGGGTAAAATCAAAGAACGTAATTTCCGTTAATGGTCTCCTTTTTAATCAAGGTTCTTTATACCACCTTGTTTGCTACCTGCTGTTACTCCAGTGTGTAAACGTAATTTTCCTCTCATACGATTCATATTCCTTTCGTCCTCGCTTTTGCAAAAAGGTAAGTCCTGAAGAGAGTGTAGTTGGGTTTCGATTTTATTTCGATTTAATGTGCAGCCATAACGAATAATTGCCCACTGTGGAACAGATGTAAGCGTTTGACATAACCGAAAGGCCAATCGATCAACATCAAAACCGCTGACAGATATTAGTTTGACTGGCAGCCAGGTTTCAGTCCAATGGAAACTACACTGAACAGCAGTTGTTATTCAAAAATATGCATACTTTATGAGGTAATGCAATCGTTTGGAAACTGCCAAAGAGGCAAAGTTGTGAAATTGCGAACAGGATTTTGATTCTGATTTAGATTCAAATTCGTCGCGGCCCATTAGCCAAATGCAACACCTTCGACAACGTGTGGACAATCCGACTTCGATTCGGCCAACTGAGTGATCTGGAGTAACAGTGTCATATGCTCACATAATTTTTGCACCATAAAAAAATGTATACTGAATGAATTTGAATTAAACAGAAATTTCATAATCGACTTTAGACGATTTTCTTGTTTTATTATACCAACACCAACTACCTAAAAGAAAAAAGAAACGCTTTAATGACCTACAATCACTTTGCAAATAGATGTATAATATTCAAGGAAATAAAAACTAGTATTAAAAAGTTTATAGCCGAAAAGTAGCTCTCAGACTAGAAAGGCTTATGTGCAGAATACAACCAAAACTTAACATGCTTGTAGGAACTTAAACATTACATTTTTATTTTTATTACTTTAAGTGGATTTTGCATTAAGTAAAAATTATTAAAGTTAAAAAATATATACAGCAGAATCATAAAATAAATGTCTGTGTACATCTAGAGCTGCAGTTTCCATTCGGATTTCTCTCCAAGTGCGTGGCCAATTAATTGCCTACAACGCCCAGGCAGCTTTTATTTTGAATCACAGGTGGACATGCGGACAGGTGTGCTCAACTCCGCTTTGGCCACTCAAAATTGCATTTCGCTGTGTTAATTATGCTGCACAGTTGCACTGCCATTCGCCCGGTGTTTCGACACCACATGTCCATAATAAGGCAATGACATAGAAAACTGGCTGTGAAAACGCAGAAATCTTTGATTTTGCGTATTGTTTAAAACCCAAAAAAGGATTTATATTTGCATGCTGTGTGCAGCTTAATGGTATATTGTCTATAATCCAAATAAACAGTGCCCTTTGTTGATGGGAAATGTGAAAATCCCACTAGATTATTTACTTTTGCCACTCGAATATAATATAGGCTTAATTTAAAACATGCACCGAGCGTATGAAATATTTAATGTGATTTAAATGTTAAGCATTTTTAATAATAATTAGCATCAAATAGAAAGACCTCTGTTAACCAAGGTATTGAAAATAGTATTTAAATTACGTACATTATTTATTGGTTACTTTTTTTAATGATTCGATACCAATTCTGCCTTCAATTGGTTGGAATATAAAATCAAAGTTCTGAATATACCTATCAGTAATTTTCCCCTGTGTAATGAACATCTCTTTGTTTCAGCTTCTGATTAGTGGGCGTACAACACGAACAGAAAGGAATAATCAGGCCGCAATGATGCAGGAAACCAAAAGTGACATGGGGCAAACCGATTTGCATCATCGGCTACCATTCAACGATACGGTTCTGAAGGACCACGAACTGACCAGCACAGATATCGAGAAGTTCGTCAAATTATGGCACGAATACCAGATGAAGAACATGACCCCACAGGTGGATGAGTGTCAGGGATATTGCCAGGGGGAAATTTACAACTGGCTACGGGCCTACAACAGCATCCATGGATACGTCTCCCTAATGGTGAGTTGGACACCAAACTCAAACGCGTAACCCGAAAACAAAGGAAAAATGTGACTAATGATGAGCGAGGGATGAGCCAGGTCATTTCAAAAGGCTCTGATGAATTCAAGGGACTGCTTCAACTTTGAACTTCGGCCCAAGTCGAAAGTATTTCGTCCTTTCTCTGAGTTAAAGTTATTTGGTGCGCTCAGTTTAACCATCAAAATCACAAATCAAATTAGGCGCCCGGAATCAGGGTTCTTGTTTTTGTCTTGGCTTCACTCAAAGGGATTTCTTCGGAAGGGATATAAATTATATTTGATGTGGCTAAGGCGTTAATGTGTTTTTCTTTTCATTTTAATTTCCAGACAGTAAGTTTCTTTGTTTGCCCTCTGTTTGGGAGGGTTTAATGTCAAATAATCTGATTAGTAAGTGGAGAAAAAGCGTACACTTCGGGTTTGAGATAAAATCGGATGAATCGTTGAAAAATATCCTGCTTTTACGACAGAATTTAATTCCACATTCTTACAAACAAGTAAGTCGAACTTTATAAAGGGAAAGGAAACACAATAGTGCCATTTGGACGATAAGAGAGAAATGGGAAATGTGTCGAGAAATGTAGATTGGAAGTCCAAGTCACTTGCGTTGTTCCTCACGAGCCGAATGAATAAAACATTTATCCACTCGGGGTATCCAAGGGGATGGTAATCAATTGGAAGTATGTGAGCGCGCAAAAGTTTAGGTTTGATAAAGAGTCCGTTTAATATTGGTTCTTGTTGTTTTCTCCCCCCATCACATAGATTTGCATATTCGGCACAATAGCAAACATCTTGAACATAATGGTCCTGACCAGAAAGGAAATGGCCAAGACGCCCATAAACAATATTCTCAAGTGGTTGGCGGTGGCCGATATGTTCGTGATGCTGGAATACATACCCTACACGTCCTATCAATACATCTATATGCGACCAGGTGAGCCAATTCGGGAAGAAAAGTATTAAAAGCAAATATTTGAACATCTTGATTTTTCCGGACTTTTGCTTACATAATGGAGAAAAATATAATAATCCCAACACTGAAAACAAAACAAATTTAAAGGATTTCATATTCAATTTAAATATATTTCGTTATGTTTTAATCCAATGAGGGTTTTATTTACTTTAAATGTATACTTTTATTAAACCATTATAGTTAACTTAAAGATTTAAAATAAATTGTAATTTTTAATGACATGAAAACAAGTAAATATGATTAATATTAAAACTAATGTTTTATTTCCTAGTTTAAATATTTTGGAAATAAAATCATTCAATTTATTATGTTTTTTAATAAACGCTATGTTTTTTATTAAGTTTTAATATTGAATATGACATTTTGAATTCAATTTGCAAATGTTTTTTTTTACTATTCCATTTTTTTAACAGTGAATGCTATACAATGTTATAATCTCTTTAGAAAATAAGAGTATAAGTATTAACAGTGTATTTTTTTGGCTAGTATTTTTTAAGTGTATTAAGAATTCAAATGAGTTAATGGACCTATTACAAATTTTGTAAAAAATCTTCTGTATACAGGTGAAAAGGATCTGAGCTACACCTGGGCTGTTTGTCTCCTGGTCCACATGCACTTCACCCAGATCCTGCACACGATTTCCATTGGATTGACCGTGACGCTAGCGGTATGGCGATATGTGGCCATCAGGTGAGCAGATCCTTTTGCCAGTTAAGCATGTTCTTCCCTGGGATTCCCCGTCATACATGTAGAGTTTGGCCCCGATTCACACTCACGCTATTTCGCATCCGCAATTCGAACAGACATCCGGCAAATCTGACTAACACATCAATGTGGCAACGTGGCTTCTCTTCTCTTCCCCCATCTTTTGTTTATAGCCAAATGTTACCGTCTCTATTCCACAGACATCCGAACGGGGGCTGTGCCAACTTCCTGCTCGCACATTCCCGGGAGGCGATCCTCCTGCCCTTCATCCTGTCGCCGATCCTCTGTCTGCCCACGTACTTTGTGTTCCAGGTGCGTGAGACGTACGACGTGGACAAGGTCAACTCGGAGGCCATGTACCACGTGTACTTCGATAAGGATTCGGTGCTGTACAGGTGGGTTCAGATGCTATATAAGAATGTAATCCCTTTCATATCATCTGAGTGTCCTGTTAAACTATATGATGTCTTATTTTTGTGTTTTACGATCTTTTTTTAGGTTTAATTTCTGGATACATTCCGTGCTGATCAAACTTCTGCCATGTGGCATTTTGATTGTGATCAGTGCAGTGCTCATGCACGTTCTGTGCGAGGCCTCGAGACGTCGCTTAAAGCTAAGAGACTATAATAATCCCGCCAAATATGCCATCCAGCTTAACCTGAACGAATCCAGGTCCAAAAAGTGAGTAATCATTTAGTCACTCAGTCAATTCGGCACTAAAGAATTCGCGTTTACCTTACTTTAACTTTTTTTTAATGCGTGATTAATTCTGAATGGTTTATTTTATATATTTAAGGTATAAGTAAATTTATTTTATGGCTAAAGAATTCACGTTTATATTATTTTTTTTTAAATGCATGATTAAGAATTAGTTTTATATATTTATTAAGATATCCCTAATATTGAAGGTAACTTTCCTATTCTTTTTATACTTTTCCTTTTAGGCCACCGCGCTGTGATCGTCGAAATGATCGCACTACCCTTTTACTGGTGGCAGTACTGGTTCTGTTTCTGATCACCGAATTCCCGCAGGGATTACTGGGTCTGCTCTCCGGCGTGATGGAGAAGTGCTTCTTCGCCCACTGCTATCCGCCATTTGGGGAACTTATGGATCTGCTGGCCCTGATCAATGCAGCCGTGGGATTCGTGCTGTATGGATTGATGTCCAAACAGTTCCGGACCACCTTCCGATCGCTTTTCATGAAGCGGCATTTTGGCAGCACCGAGATGACCCGCTTGACTCGGGTCACAACAACCTGCGTTTAATTTGTATGAGGAAGGGTATCTCCAAGATGTGATTATACAATGGAGCAAACAATGGTGACTCCTTGGAAGGTGAAGGACATCAAAGATGATCCTGCCCAGCTCCATTTGAATTTTCTAAATTATAAATTACAAAACTTTATAAAAGTTTCGTTATCTTGAATAACACTAATGGGGAAACTGTGAGGTGTGGGATTAATGTACATATATATACTGGCTGATGCACTGTGCATCCAATTTCACTGGTGCATCGATCGGTCAAAAATTAATTCTGCTTGTGATTTGGCTGTTTTAAAAAGTGCCATTTCATTTCCAATTAAAATACGGCTTAAGATTTATTCGTTAACCAGTTGGTGTTTCCATTTCGTGTTGATATGTAAGTTTTTGTTAGGCTAAGTGCAAATACGAGACATTTTACTTTCCACTAAGGTTATGAAACAGGAATCCATGAATATAACTATAGCTATGCTAAGAGGACAGAAAAACTCCTTGAGCCCCGAGTTGCTTTTTCTTCTTGGCTGAAAATATCAAAAGCTATTTTGATTATATATGTCGATAACTGGTTTTCAGCCAATTGCCAATGCCTTTAACATTGGCTATTGGAAAATCCCTATTATGTGTACTATCTAAGCTGCTTGTACTATTTTTAAATAAATGTAAACACTTTCAAATAAATGTTTGATGTGAATTGCATAAGTGTTTATTGCTTTCCATTACCATACATAATTAATTCCGGCTTACAACAGCATTCACCTCCAGGGGCAGCTCGTCTGGCAGCAGTTCCTTGGATCGATTTTCGGCCAAGTCAGTTTGCTCCAAATCCGCGGAATCAAGAAGGATGCCATTGCCCTGATTCGAGATTCGTAGAAGGGATTTCAGCTTGGTGGCTTGGAATTTGTACTGCAGGAAATGGAGAATGATTTAATCTAGGCTTGAGGGAATTCTAGCCACAGGGCTTGCGGTGCGTGGAATTTTCGGATTAAAATTTGCTAGACTTCGAGTCCAATTACGGGGCGGAATTTCTATTCACGTGCCATTGCATACATCCACTGGGAATAATGGTATTTCGGACGACTTACTTCCGTGGGCAGCAGAAGATCCTGGGCCTGGCTCATGAACCGGTTGTACTGCTCGGTGGCCAATGCCAATCGGCCGGTTTCGTAGCAAAAGAGGGCAAAGTTCAGCACAACCAGAGGATTTCGTACGCCACCCTGTTGCCCAGTTACCATGCGACTTGCTCTTTCGAGGGCCACGAACGCGTTCTCCATATCATCCAGCTTACGCAAACAGACTGCAAGGTAAAGTGGGTGCACTCAAAAATTTGTAGTTTTAAGATCTAAAAGTATCTTACAATCTAAACATACTCAACTGATCTATTAAATATTGTTGATGGCATTATATTTTTTATTTTATTTACCTTAATAATCCAAACGGAATGTTCAAAAACAAAAAATTTACATTTTGATTTCCTTCAAAATTATTTTATATTTACTATTTGGTAAATAAATTTACTGTGTATGATAATTTGGCCAATAAAATTTTTTTTTAGTTTTTAAATCTACAAGTATTTTTAAGTGAAAATTTTTTTTATATTTATTGCATAGTAAATAAATTTAACGTGCATGGTAATTTGGTCAACCATTTTTTTAGTTAAAGTTTTCTAAGGTTTTGGAAAAAACAACAACCGTAGATACAGAAGATCAAGCAGAGGGTGTTGTAATACTCTTATTTACTTATTCACCTAAAAGAAGATGTACAAAATATTCAAGCAAATGAAAATATAACATTCTGAAAGCTATTCCGCTTATAAAATAACGGCCCATATGCAACTTTAAATCTTAAAATATCATAACAAAATATAAGATGCAAAACTAGAAGTCAACAGTTAAAAATTTTATGTTTAAATAATATAAATCACTTTCACTTAAATCAGTTAAATATTACTAATTTTTAGAAATATTTTGTAAAGACCAGAAAAAAATTAAATAAACAAGCTTTTATATTGAAACTGCGAGTTAGCTAAAATAATTTAATAATATGTTTAATTTAATATAAAAAATGAAATTATTGTTGAGAACAAAAAGGGTAATTTTCTAAGTTCTAGGCAATATTAATGCAAATTTTTGGCGAGTGCAAAAGAACAAACTTACGGCCAAGGAGCATGAAGCACTCGGCATTATCCTTGCGCAGGTTTATGGCTGCGGCCAGCGTGTGAAAGGCACTGGCGTATTGTTCGGCTGCGGCCAAGTTGGGATAAACAAACAAACAACAGATGCTCTGCTTAACGGAAGAAATGGCAACAAACAATGCTGGACAACAGTAGGAACGAATCGCTCGAGGCTCGGACTGCTCTACGTATTTTTAAGAAATTGATTAAAGCCAACCCAACCCACAGTTCACTTTGCCTGGTAGCCTCAAGTGAATATTTGTCCCTTACACATTCAACCCTTGTCACAAAGCTAGTGTCCCCATTGTCTCTGCTTATTCAGGTCTTTCATAAGGCCAGCTTTTAGTTTTCTTGTTACGAATTTGTATTGACCAAATCACTGCAGAAGATGCATGCTGGCGAAATGCCAAGCTGGGCTTTTGCTCGAGACTGGTCAACTGAAAATCACTTTACAAGGCTTTAGTTTACACTCTATTTATTCTGAATAATGGATGGCTTTAGAAGTGCTCTCTTTAAGTTATAGTTTAGTAAGTTCTTTTTCATTTCCTCAACAAAAATTTTATTTGCTATAGTTGTATCAAAGACATTTACTGAATGAGGATACTCGGAAGAAAAAAAGTTGTCAAAAATTTAATGTTGTCAAATTCTGTCAACTTCTAAAGAAGAAATGTTTGTCACAAAATATGATGCAGTCTGTAATTAAAAGCCTGTCCCATGAAAAATATTTGATAATGACAAGCTGTTTGTGAAATGCTTGTTTTTCTTAAAACTGGGCAACTAAAAATCATATTACTAGGCAGTTGCTTTGACTTTATTTATTCTGATTATTGTTTTTCTCTGAAAAAGCACTTGTAAATTTTTGAACATGAAGTGTTATTTCTTCTATTTCCATTTCTCAGAAGCATTTATATTTATGAATTTTCTATCAAAGGCACAAATGTATGGGAACATTTTGTCAAAGGTTTTGTTTTGAAAGGATTCGGGTTTGTTGAATGTTTTCCTAAAATGTATGTGACAAAATATGCTAAAGAAGAGCATATGTCTATAAAATATTATTGCTGAAGTGCCTTTAAAATTCGGAATACTCACAGGCAATGTAGATTAAACTCAGGTTGTACAAGGCATTGTAATTAAGAGGTGAGAGCCAAACAGATTTGCGCAGCGAGGAAATGGCCTGGAAGTTAAGCACCATTTAAATGGCAACTCAAATGATTCACCCTGTCATTTTGTTACCACAATGAACTTTTGCTTCTTGAAGAAGCACAATCCAATGTTATTCCACAGCTCGGCAATTTCCGGCTCAGTCTGTGCGATTTGGCTGTATTTGCTGAGTGCTCCATCGACATCGTTGCGAGACTGATACGGGAAAGGTTTACAAAATACGATACAATAGATTGTGAGCAAGGGATTGCATATCTTTCACCTGCAAAATGGCGCCAAAGGCCAAAAGTCCCTTGGGCGAGCATTTCCGTTCGATGCTGACGACTTCCGCCAGCCGATCGTGTGCCTTTTGCGTTTCGTTGATTTTCAGGTACAACACACTGATTTCAATCAGAACCTCAGAGTTCTCAGGAGTTAAGCTGAAAAGTGTGCCAAATGAGCGAATGATTGAGTGACTGAGGGCAGGGCAAGTCATTAGCTACTGACTGAAGGCAAGTTTCCAGCACATCGATGGCCCTCTGGTACTGTTTGTCCTTTCGATATAGCTCTGCCAAACGGATATAGCTATCCAGTTTCCGGCCAGATTGCACGGCTAATTCGAAGTACGAACGAGCTTCCGCCTGCTGCTGGTTGGCCACCTCTTTTTGGCTTTGTGTGGTTGCCGCCCGATAGAGCAGTTCGCCCAGATAGTGGTATATCTCGTGGTCGGGCCGAATGCTCCTCTGCTCCGCCTCCCGAAATACGCCCAGGGCCTGATTGAACCGACCCATTATGTAGCTGAAAAGGCGTACGGTTTAGCATTTCGCATTTTCCGGCTCTAACGTTGCATAACATGTACATGCTGAATTTTCTGCTATGCACCGCTTTTAATTAGGACTACAAAATCAATCATTAGTGCAAAATAAGATGGATTTCAATTATGTTTTTTTTTTTTTTTACTAATTAATCATTTCAGCTGGTTTTCCACAAACTAAACAACTGAAACCACTAAACAAATGCTTGGTCTTTGTTTGTTTAATAGTTAGTCAATTGCGGGGGTTCATTATTTTAAAATCGTCTAATCAATAACAGCAATTATAATTTCAGCCATAATAATTCCGGGTAAATAAATGAAAAATAGATAGCAATTACTAAACAATTGTACGTTTGATATTTGCGGCTTTAAAGCACTGTTTATGCACAAATTTAACAATGACTAAACCAAACTGAGATATTAATTAAAAAGGCGATTGAAAGTGGTTCTCTATGATTAGAATACTACAAACAAAAAACCCTTTTTCTACCAATTTTTCAATATAATAGTTTTGTTGAGCCATGGAATCAATTTGATTTTCAGTAGTTCAACATTTCTTTAGTTTCATAACTAACCGTATTGTTTTGTGTGGAAATACTATTGCTTGTAACCAAATATAAAATCTTTAGGCCCTCGAAAAGCTGCTAAATTTTCTTATATATATGTATACCCACAGTGTTCGACCGATTTCCTTGTAGCTCTCGATGTTTCTGGGATTCAGCTCCACTGACTTTTGCAAATGCCGCAGCGCCTCGATGTGGTTGCCCTCTTCTCGGTCAATTAGTCCCTGGCAAGGGCAATCAATTAGAAAAGACACCATTCATTGGGCTCACAGCCGCCTCACCTGGACAAAGTACAGGTACTCGGGATTCAAATGGCGATTCAGCTCACGTTCGATGAGTCGGCGGCAGCGCGTGAATTCGCGGCGAGTAAAATAAATGTGGAGCAGCCAATCAATGTTGGCATCGCTGGGCATTTTGGGAGCTAATCGAAGGAAAACCCATGAATGAAATAAATGTTTGAAAAACTTTGAGGATTTTCCATTACCTGAGCGAACCACCTCCAGGCTTGGCAATTCAATAAAGGTGCCGTTGCAGTTGATCTGCTCTGTTCCCGGTACGTACATGGATTATCTGCTCTTTCCTGGGCAATGACGAAAAAAAAGCTCCACTTCAAAGCCAACTCGCAGATATTTAATCTCCATTTGTTTTGGCCCCGGCAACTTTGTTGTCAACAATGCGCGTTGCCATGGCTCTTAACTTTTAAGGGTTGGCCAAGGCAGGCGGGCTGGAAATTAACTTGTTAACTGAATTAGTGAACGTTTCTGCCTCGGGCCAAAAAGGAAAACACGAAAAAGGTCCTAAGAAAATTCCGCGGTGTGTATTTTTAATTAGCCATGACAAATATGTCGAAAACCCATTCGAAACTAATCGAAATGCAATAAAAACAAACTAAAACTGGCCAGAAAATAATTGCCCAGACTAAAAGGCAGGCCAACAGATCTTGGGATAAACCAGTTCTTTGGGGTTTCGCCGCGAAATCCCGACTCTGACACCGCCTAATTACTCAATT